GGGATTATTTCATTTTGGATGGGAGAGATGATAGCCGAGTAAACGAACCAAACGAAATCCACTATAATTGGGCTCTGAAAAGTGTGCCTCTAGAAATGTTAGGTACTTTGCCATTCCTGTTGTATTTTCGAGATAAGATCTAATTGGTGAACGAGCATCGACACCAAAGAAGTAGACCAACTTACCTCTTCGGTGGGAGGGAGGGGAATGGAGGTAAGAGCGCTCTCAGCACCATTGCCATCTTGGGCGCCGAATTTGCGGTTTTGGGGCGAGGAGGGATGGGAACGGAGGTGATGGGATGACGTGGTAAAGGGAACGCAGGACTTTACGTCGACGACGTAGGTGGTCACTACCGCGGAAGAGAGCGAAGCGCCCACTAACTGATTAAAGCTCGGCGCCACCGCTATATCTGCTACTCCGCCACCGCCACGCCATCCCACCTGCACTGACTCCAAGCACGACATGGTCTCAAAGTGGTAGATCTGCACACAGAAACAAAAGCGTTGTAAGGAATTTCCTCGTGGGAGAGATTAATGATTGACTTTGTAGCTAGATTATTCAAATTCGACAAACTACTTTCAGGAACCCAAGCCCTCCAGAAAAACAACATCGTCCGGTGGAGTTGGGAAAGGGAATTATTCAGCAGTTCACATCCATCACCTGTGCCTTTTGGGGATGATTCAACGGGTATCATGTATTTAGCCATGAGAGAACTTTCAGACTCTTACGATTTGATTTTCTACCAACATTGCTAGCATCAGGCTATCCTGCTTCCAAACCCGCATGATTTGCAATAGCTTCAGCACTAAATGGAGCCCTTGGTAAGTGTATGTGCAATTGGTTTGAGTTTTGACGAGCAAAACTACCCAGCCACTTCGACTAGGCGGAGATAACACAGAACGCCACGGTAAGTAGAACTAATAATAGTGCAGGAGAACAAAGTGGCAAAACCATGACATGAGCCAGCCTAAAGATCCTTTTTGAAGACTGAATTAGTAATTGCATTTATGAGAAAGTGTTACCTAGGTACCATCAGCACATCCAAAATGTGACCTTAGAGAACGGGAGATAAAGGGGCTGTTTTAATTTCTCAGAAATGGTAGATAAGTGTGCGTCGAGCAACCCCTAAAGCGCCATAAAATCAAAGACAGTTCCAGGATTTGTTGAAAGGAAACAAAATAGTAAGGAACTAGATGATTGCTTCAATAAATGATAACAGAGGTACCCACGCAAAACTAAAGGCAACACCTTAACCTCCCCGGTTGGATTTAGGCTATTCCATAGCGAAACCTCAACGGACTAAAATGCATAACTTTTGAGATTAGTCAGCTAGAAAGTGCCGATAAGTACGATTTACTTAGAAGGGGTGACAGACATTTTGGAAACGGCCCTTAGTCCAAACAGCCACAAAAACAGAGACATCTATAAAGTCGTAGATGCAACAATTACCTGGCATTAAACATTGGTAATAAATACTGAACTATGGATAGTCTTCGCAAACCACGAGCTGAGACAGGGCTGCTCCTCAGTGAGAAAATATAAGGAATATGTCTAGTTCAACGCCCTGAAATGATTTAAATATACATTGAGCAATAATGAAAGCCGATGGAAATTGAAACCGATATACTAAGAAGGGGAGAATGTGAAGAATCCGAGAAGCTTAGCACATTGCCTAGCTTAACGGGGCTGTGAAAACTACAGCAACCATTTACAAACGTTTCAAAGTATCCGCAAACAATTGCATACATCCGGAAGTGATAAGACCAGTTTTTGCCTGGAGGTGGTTTAACAAAGAACCATAGCAACTCCGTGTACATGTATTACGAGGCACAGAATTACTCAGTTACATAAAGGATGAGTAGAATGTCTAAGAGTTCAAGATTAATTTACCTTAAAGGTGTCAGCAGAATATGAGAAAAGGTCTAGTCCTTCAGAGCCAGCACATGACTACTTCTTTATTCATGGTTGTAAAAAGTAATGCAAATAGCTGGCGTGAAAGCTCCTCCTACACGGTTACTAATTTACTCAAAAAATACGGAAGTTTAGGGAACATATATTCTAAGCTTTTGGTACCAATCGGCTAAACGAACACCTTGACATCATGCATTTGAAAATTGGGTGGTTCGAACAAGACCACCGGAGATGACCAAGCATCAAATGACACATTTTTAGGAGTTCAAAAGCACACGCTCAACTCCGTGACGTGAAAGACAACCAGGATGCGAAGGTTGTCGCTCCAAAAGATACATACGGGTAGCTGTAGAAAAAATAGATTAAGAGAAGAACGGATTCCCCCTACATGGAAACTATTTTTCAACTCCTACGAAAGCTGATTTACGTGGCGAAATAAACTAACCCAAGAAGGCTAAATAAAGACGAGGATGGAGAAGGAGATTGGGAAGGAGAGTAAAGTCCAGTTTCTCCGAATACTGAGATAGTGTCAAAAGGGCTAAAAAAGTCTCAAATCAATACAGGCGTTGTAATGGGCGAAATCCCTCAAAGTGCAATTTCCGAACTTTGGCGGAATTTGAAAGCAAGTCAGACGTACTCATTTGACGCTCTTAATAACAACTGCTGCTCATTCTGACAGCTTCATTTCAAATCGAGTTTGGTAGTTGATTTAAATCGTAAAAGGAGGGACGGAGCAAAGCAAAGCAAAGCAAAAACTACATAATTCAAGCTCCACTCTCCACGGAAGAAGAGCTTATGAAAATACGGAGATTGGCTGATACACAATATTACCATTCATAATAATAACCACTAAAACTTGGCAAGGAAGTGTCTGCCCTCATTTCAAAATTTGCGCCCATCAACGATCACTGAAATCATCAACACTATGCAAAAAAGATGGACAACCAATGTGCTGAGTTTGTCTCCAAAGTTGATATTTCTAGTAAATTTGTTGGTTAAACAGGCGCATTAATTGAAGATACCTTAGTTATGATGGCATCATTCTTTGGAAATTACGTTTCCAAGTCAAGTGGACCAACTTTGAACTTAATGGATAGGGTAGTTTTCACAATTTAAGATGACAGCCTCATCAAAGAATGGAATTCACAAAGTGATTGGAATGGGATGATAAAGAATCTTGACAAAAGCCGCGCATAAGGGATACGACAATCTATGCGCGTGTTAGTGACAAACGTACTCTTACTAGAAATCAAGAGTCGGCCAATTGTATGAGGTGGCGTCGATGGGATGTTCTTAATCCTGACAGAAGCCGAACATGAGAGTAAATGAGGTAGGATAAATTGTAGGATGAGAACAAAAAGCGGAATTCAAGAAGCCAGATACGTAGCAGGGTATTCATGGGGAAGGAGAATGAGGGGAATGTGAAGAGGTACCAACACCGAGAAATATTATAGCAATATAGAGGCGTTTGTAGAAAATCCATTTGCAAGACGTTTTAAGTATAGAATGTGGAGTATAAGAGGTAATTGCAATTGAACTTAGTCATTTGAAAATTATCAACTTTATGCAAAGACGTTACAATCCAAAATCCAGCCGTCAAATTAAATGAAATGGCAGTAATGCATTGTGTTTGTGAAGGATATTATTTCCAACGATAAAAATGAAGTACCCGAAATTGTCCTACTCAACAGTCTGATTAGTTCGAAAACGACCGTCTGAGCAGCAGATGAAGCTCAAAAACCAGACCCAAGACAAGTTACGAGCTACCCCGATGGATTGAATTCGCAATATCAAAGAAGGGAGACGATGCGAGAAGAATGAAAAACTAGCTGGTCGATGTGAATACAGTGGCATTCATGAAGATTTGATAATATTTAAGAAACATGCAGTAAAGTAGGTATAAATAATTTGCAGCTTTTGATAAAATAAAACACCTCGGAAAAGGCAATTGTAAGAGCCCTTTAACTAGTCGTAGCAGTGAAAGTGGTTTGACGTCGGTGGAGAAGGGATCTAAATAACCACAATCACTGAACCTGTTGCGTCCTAATCCTCCAAAATGAGATTCGCAAAAAAACTAGGGTGTTGCAAAGCGAATGGTATAAGTCTAGCACAAATTGAGTTGCGTTGATGTTGAGTCAAATAAACTAATGATCGCCAAGCAACTGAATACCCAAAAAATAAGTGTAGGTGTAAGATTGCGAACTTAAATTTCCCGGTGGTGGTGACATTAAATCACTGGAGAAGTTTAATAAATTTAGCTAATATTTGATGAAAGGGAGCATTGTCACAGGAGTCAGAATGTTCATGTTTGACAAGCAGCGGCCATAATAGGGGTAGAAGTTTTAGAACAGATAATAATAACTATAAAGATAAACAATAAAGTTGTACCGAATGCCGCTTCTAGATAGCGGGAGAAATAAAAGATATTTTAGGTGATAACTGAGAATAAACATAAGTATGGACCGAAAGAAAGGTGGTTATGATGCGACAAATTCCATTGAACCCGCGCTTATAGGCATATACAGAGTGGAAGAGGGGTGGCATTGATAAAGTCATCAACACAAGATTGAATGGATGAAGGAGGACAAGGAAAAAACACTAAAAAAAGAAGAGAGGTGGTGAAAGCACGAACCTTGAGTTGTTCGGTTGTGGCGACGTAGAGACACTGACCCTCCGGGTGGAAGACAATGCGTCGGACTGCGGAAGCGGCCAGTTCGATGCCGGAAACGGCAACCTGAGAGAATGTCTCGAGGTCAAAGACCCGCACAGTCCGATCCGCAGAGGCCGAGGCCAGCAACAGCACTGTTGGGTGGTAGGCGATGCTCGTCACCGGCGCTGTGTGACCCGAAAGCTCCGCCAACTGCTTTCCCGCTGCCAAATCCCATACCTATGCAAAAAGTAATAGGAATAGTAATAATAATAATAAACAGCTTTCGGGTGAAAACAAGTTTTATGCACAGGCATAAAAAGACGTACTGACGCGAAGATATTACAAGCAGCAGTAAGTGCCAAGTGTGCACTAGCCCTAGTGGGTACCACAAAACTTCGTGAATCGATGCGGTCCAGATGCCTTTAGTCGAGATGGTGATGAGAAAATGTTAATGGTACGCCTAAACGATAACCATGCAACTATCATTGAGGAACACGACATTTTGACCCTAAATTCTAACGGTAGCTTTTATGACCACACGTCCCGTGTGAGAAGTGAACGATCGAGACAGCTCGCTTTGATTATCCTATCTGTCAAAACGGGACACAACATAACCATTTCAATGAGTTTTAAACAAGGAGAGAGAGTGCACTTTAAATACAAAGGCAAGAGGCTGCCCTAAAATGGATCAGCTGTACTAATAAAACAACGGCAAATGTGCTTTGAATGAGTGTATAAACGCATGTGAGATTGCATGTTTCTTGAGTACAAAGTTGTCAATTGCTACTGACCAGATAAATTGATGATAAATCAGAGAAATATGGTGTAAAAGCAAATGGGGTAATGTTAATAAGGGAAATGATGCAACACAAAAGCCATCACTCACAATTTTCTCCCAATTAGACACTATTATAAGGCCAAAGCAGTGAAGAATAAGTTCATAGTCTTTAGAGTTGCTTACTATTCAGCGTTTGAGCAGACCGGGTGGCGGTATTTTGCAAGAATCTCACGATTTTCCTCAGATAATGCAGGTAGATTCAACAAATTTCCTTCCTAACAGTAAGCATTACTGAAAGTTGTTCATGGATCAGTGTCAGTGAGGCAACACACGGAGATTCGTCACCAGAATCCACGTTTTTGAACGTCCATATGGTGCATTCTACTTACAAAGGCTGAACTTTACACCAGAAAGTGCGGCATATTTGCAATCGAATTCGATAAGTGGAACATGCAAATTTATACCAAATTCATCATACATGAGAAAGAAATGAGAAAATACCAAAAAAGTACTACAATACTAGGCTGATGCAGGCACAGTTGCATGCACTTTATAAGGCGATATAACCTACAGCAAGTTATGCCGAAAGCTGCAAGAACTTTGTAGCCATTCGACAATGGCGATCCGTTACCAACGTTTTCAAATTGTTTACGGAGATAAAGCAGATTTGTCTCTAACTCAGCTCTAACTTCAGCCAAATAATTCATGTGCCTTTACTCCCATAGGCTTCGTTCCAAAATTCAAAATTTGGAAGACTTAGCCTAAAAAACTGTGAAGTGCGTTTTAACGTGCTACCAACAACGCTAAGCCATATTGAAGCCTACTAACACCGCGGATAAGCAAGTAGAAAAAACTTGGGACATAAATATAAAATCGACGAACTGCCAAACACGAGTCCAAAACACTGTGGTAGGAAGGATGAACATCCGATGTAGTGAATGAACCAAGGCTAAACTTCGTCTACAAATACTCAATTTGTCTGCGACTTTACGAGGATAAACAGTTAGCCAAATAGAAAAATGTAAAACTAGGCCACTCGTAACTCGGCACATATTAGACCAAATTCTTCCCAAAAACAAAATGAACGCTCTATGATGAGCCAGAAGTATTCAAGAACGCGCCCAAAACAAAGGCGAAAAGAGTTGCCAGGAGCAACAGGAAATAAGGAAACTGTGTTTTGAGTGCAGAAACTGAACGATTAGAACTACATCAAAGACAATGAGGCGTGGCTTACAAGGCGGAAGGACAGGCAGCAAAAGGCAATCGCAACTAATGCTCGAGAATAGGCATTAATAGTTGATGAGTTAAATTAAGTGAAACTAGAAACGGAAAACCGTAGGAGAACAGAAATAAAGGTAAGTAAAGAAGGTCCTGCAGGCGTAATGGTGGAAAATATCCACAAGAGTGCCGACGCAGATACAACTGACAGTTTACAAAAAAGCTTTACAATTCGTACGACCGAAATAGAGGGCGAACAAGCAATAATGCCACTGAAGCTCACGTATCAATGTTAAAATAGCCGTTAAATATAACGAAAAGAAGCAATGCTTGTGGTGAAAAATGACACCGTGAAGAAACCAAATTTAGTGAAAAGTGGGGTGGGACGTGATTTGTTCTATTCACATGCTCGATCACACAAAGCTTTTCAATTTCTCACAATTCAAGCACACACAAGCGACAGAAATTAGGTATGAAATTCGGGTAAGCTTTAGTTTACTACAAGAGGAATTGTATCAAAGCCAGATGAGTTGCCGACTCGAACATTAAAGCAACTTAAAAGTTCATTACAAACAGTATCACCATAAAGTATAGGGTAAGAAAACGAATGTACATAGATAACCGGAGGTATTCAAGAGAAGGTGGGATTTACCTTGACACGGCCGTCGTCACCAGCGGAAACTATCCAATTTCCATCAGGAGAAAAACGGACCATGTTCACGCAGCCAGCATGCCCTCGAAAGGTGTTGATGCAACCCTTTCGCGAAACGTCCCATAACTTAAAGGGAAGTTCGTAGGGAAAAGAAAACATCATCAGCATTGAAAACGATTCCTGAGGCCGCCACATACGTGTAATGAATTCCTTATCAGGTTATTTCAAATCCTGTCAGAAATGGACCGACATAATTCAGAGGCGTAACATTCGCGGAGTGGAGATCGATGAATTGCAGTTCTGGTATTTGAGCAGGGGAATTCTAGATAGGCAAGTATTTTGTGACTAGAGTATTTGAATTTTTTTCCCAGAGACCGTTTGTGTATGTCAATGTCCAAAAAAAATTGAAATTCATCCTGGATCCACGTGTGCAATGAGCCTTGTGAAAGTGAAAAGAATTTACCAAAGCCACAAATGGTAATGTCTTAAAAAGTCAACTTGGCGAACATCCCCAATTTCACTAAAGTATCTACAAGAAAGTTAAAGCAGTCATTTCGGTGGAGCAGGAATTTTCCATAAAATAAAAATAGTCTTTAGTTTCGAGGTGTACAGCACAAATCAGAACGCGAATATAAAACAGAAAAAAAGGTGGAAGAGTACCTTAACAGTCGAATCCATCGATCCTGATGCAATGAAATTTCCATGAGGGTGAAAATCCAACGACTGTACAGAAGCAGTGTGACCAGATAGTGCTCGAGCCACTGGAGCAAAAAAAGAAATGCGTTAGAAAGGTACACACAATGGTTCTGTAAGGCATAATGGAAAATGGAAATGGAAAAATTGACCTACGCTTTGCTCCCTCCAGATCCCAGATTCGAATTGAACCAGAAAGAGAGCCGGCTGCCATGCAGTCCTCGTCTGGACTGAATTGGGCAGCGTCAACGGAGGAGGTGTGCCCGGAGAGACTCATTATACACGTTGGCTTACCCACCGCCCACAGTTTCACTCGTCGATCCTCCCCGCCCGTGGCCATCACCCGCGCAGACTTCCGACCCAGCGCCAATGTGGTCACTGACCCTGGAACATGGGCTACGAATTCCTCTACAAAACCGCAATCACCCAGCTTTGTTAGGGTAGTATTGTTCAGCAAGGGCAGACTAAATCCATACTTCTAATCGACGGGATACCAACGCATCTGATAATCACTCCGCTACATGCAGTCTTCTCTTAAAACCATTTTGGTATGAAAAAGCACGTGCTTTTGAGCAACAAGCATAAAACACTAATAGGCAA